GTATGGGAGTACTGAGCCTGTAAATCTTTACTTGAGCCGATAGCCTCATCTTTCTCCTGAGAGGAGTCTTGTGGGTTTGAACTGCTGACCTTGCAGTTAGCAGCCTATTGCTTATCCCACAGCACTGTCGGGGCTCCTTTCTTATTGGCATAACCCAGCCACTCATCAAGTGTGTTCTGACTTCTATGGCCCTATGCGAGCAGATAGCCTTTCTTCTCCTACGTAGCAGACTGGTGGGTTTAAATTGCGCGCTCATAGTGACCCTCTGTGGGTTTCCGAGGCTATAACTGTTTATAGTTTATAGGAGTAGAAAGTCCAGTCTTTCTCCTGAGGAGTTACTGATGGTTTTGAACTGCCAACTATGCAGATGGCAGCCCAACCAGTATACCAGGGCTCCTCCTTGTTAGTTTAATGACTGTGTATTCCTTCCATCTGCTTTGCAGACTTCCTGTGTTGTTCTATTTGGGGGGGGGGGGCATAGAATTCTTTAATAATGCAATTAAAGGCCTATTTTTTACAGTTTGAGAACTGATTGTAGTAAGAACTAAAGTTAGATGAGAAGCTTGAAACAAATTTGAAAGGATGACTTTGGGGTATGTGCTAGGGAATTACAAAGGATTAATTAGGTTAGTGGCTCAAATTTGCCTCCATTGAAAGGCTCAGTACTCTGTAGGATACAATGAAATACTGGCTGGATGAATTTAAAGTAAGAAAGTATTATTTTATGCCAGTGATTTTTTTTTTTTTTAGATACAGTTCTGAAGATTTAGCAAAAACACTACAGTATAGGGATTGGGAACAGAAAATTGAGCACATTCCTATTATTAATTTTCAGTGAATGAGTTAAGCTCATTTTGGTTTTGAGTGGTAGGTAAGCCATTTTCTAATTGGAATATTATACCATCCTATTTCTCTAAAAGATGAGAGGAATCGACAAACTGATTAGTTAACTAATTAAGACATTTCCTAAGATGAGGCCCGTATCATAACTTCAAATCAAGTTTTCTACTTTTGGTTATTTTGTACTTATAAGTAGTGCTTGAGTTTCAAACTGATTTTGATGGCCTCATTTTTGCTTTTTTATAATTATATTTAAAAAAACAAACTCACGTACATTGAGCTGACTTTTAACTCATAGTGACTTCATTGGGAAGAATAGCCTCATTTTACTCTCAATGGAGTGCCTGGTGGTTTAGAACTGCTGACTTTGCAGTTAGCAGCCCAACACGTAAACCACTATGCCGCCAGGGTTCCTCATAATCATATAAGCAATATATATATTAAGCCAAGACTACTATGTGGTTTTTCTATGAGATATTAGCCATGCAGACTGATAAGACAAATGTTATGTAAGGAAAGGGGTTTAATGCATGGCTGTTGATGTCACACAGAGGGACTTAGGGTGACTGGCTGTTAGGGAGCCCTGGTAGTGCAGTGCTACAATCCGCACAGGTGGCAATTCGAAACCACCAGCAGCTCCATGGGAGAAAGACTGGGATTTCTCTACTGTTCCATAAGCAAGTTACAGTCTCTAAAACCCCGGTGGGGGTGTGGGGGTGTCAGGGGGTTCGTAATGAGTCAGCATTGACTTGAAGGCAGTGAGTTGAGGTGGTTTTAATAGCAGTTAATAGATGAGAAAAGTTCATGGAAAAATGTGACTGAAAAATACTGGAATTTTTCCATGAACCTTTTTAAGCCTCCTGGTACATAGCCACAACTGAGTAGCTATTTTTTGAATGAATAGAAACTATTTAGATCAGGGGTCCTCAAACTTTTTAAACAGGGGGCCAGTTCACTGTCCCTCAGACCCGTTGGAGGGCTGGACTATAGTTAAAAAAAACAAACTATGAACAAATTCCTGTGCACACTGCACGTACCTTATTTTGAAGTAAAAAGACAAACGGGCCCAAAACACCCGGCGGGCCAGATAAATGTTCCTGGCACGTGGCCCACGGGCCATAGTTTGATGATGCCTGATTTAGATCATTTGAGACTCCCTCCCTCCCTCTACTGCTTCCTCACTTCCTTCCCCTCCCTCTCTCTCCCCTACCTCTTTAGTAATAGATCTTATATACAGTGTTGCAGTGTGAAATTTGCTGATGTTCTCATTGTTATGCCAGCCCCAAAAGACTGAGATTGGATTTATAAAGATATTGATAATAAAAGTCAGTAATACAACTATGTATATATGCACGTATACATATGCATACATACATGCACAAATATAAAGATATTCGATTTACGTAAGACCTGGCTTACAGCAGAATTGGAGTGCTCTCAGAGTCCACCTGGGGTGGGCCTAGCTCTGCCCACTGGTAGTGTTCTCCAGGAATTTCTGTAAATGGGAAGAGTCTGGCTGGGCTAGTGGGTCGAGGAGGATTTAGTTAGGGATTTGTGCGGTCCAGGTCTTTGGCTGGTGTGATACCTTAGAGACGTGTCCATGTTTCTCCCATTAGTGCTTTCATTTCCGGGAAGGCACCTGGGGTTGGCCAGCTGCTCTTTCCTCTGCTGCAACCGCGGTGGGTGTCTCCACTCTACTACCCCTCTTACTATCCCCAGCCTCGGAATCTTTTGATACCATCCCAGAATTGAATTCACATTTTACTCTTCGTGACAGAAAACATAAGCCAGGAATACAACGGCTCCTTCCTTATTTCTTTACCGAAGGCCTAAAACACCTGGAAGATTGTATTAGATCTCAGAGGAAGACTGTGAGGGGGAGATTTGCTTCCTTTGTAGCCCCACACTTAAAGAGGGAGTCGTCTTACGAAAACTGTACATATAAAGCACTTTATACTAAGAGGTAGGGTCCTGGACTCGGATTTCCTGGATTTGATTTCCAGCTCTGCTTCCTGCTAGTAGTGTGACCTTGGGTTACCTCCTTAATCTCCCTGGGCCATGTTTCCTCATCTGTAAAATAAGGATAATAGTATCTGCCTCACAGAGTTATTGTTAGGATTGATGAGAAGAGATACACACGCGTCCTTGCAATACCCAGTATATGCAAATAGCCAATTCCTTTGACTGCTAACCAAAAAGTTGGGGGTTTAAGCCCAGATAACTACTGCAAATAAGTAATGATGCAGTCTGCCAATAGAAGGTTGATACCTGAGGTACACGAGGTGTGTGGGGGTCGTGGTGATAGGAAATCAGTTGTGCCTGGTGGAGAAGATGGGTCTGGGATGGTCAGGTGTGGGGGCGACGAGCAGATTTCTGAAGGGTGAGTTCTGAGCTCTGACAGGCAGGGTGGGGGTTCTGTTGAGTGTCTCCGGATTTTATGATGCAGACATTTGGTATGTGGACATTGGTGGAGCCCTGGTGGCATAGGGGTTACAGGTTTGGCTGTGATCACCAAGGTCAGCAGTTCGAAACCACCAGCCTCTCCGAGGAGAAAACTGGGGTTTTCTACTCCTGAAAAGAGTTACAGTCTTGGAGACTCACAGGGACCAGATCTACCCTGTCCTATAGGGTCACTATGAGTCGGCATCGACTCAATGGCAGTGAGTGCTGTCATTTTTAACCTGGTCTTGGAATCTAAAGTGAATACCATACTGCATCTGTAGTGCTCTTAAGGTCAAGGAGAACAAGGAATGTATGATTCAGAAATTGCTTGGGTAACCCAGGGTTGATGGTATTTATGACAGCAGGCCACGTGAGAGTAGTGCTTAGTAATGTGCCAGAACTTGAGGGGAGAGCCAGTGAGTATAAATAGTGAAATACAAGTATTAAAACACAATATTCTAATACAAGACTTTTTTAGAGAACTGTAGAGGGTGCTATATCATTAGAGACTTATTAGTTTATCTAATGACAAAAATTCCCTGCATCAGAAGCCAGTTCTCTTGACTGTACTGTACATCTTTTCTTACTGTTTTAACTGAAATGAGAATGACGAAAGTTACCTTAAAGCTGCCCTGGTGGTGCAGTGGTTAAGGCTATGCTGCTAATGGTTTGAAGCCACCGTGGGAGGAAGGTGTGGCAGACTGCTTCCATGAAAGCGACAGTCTCGGAACCCTGTCCTGGGGGGTTGCTGTGAGTTGAAATTGACAGTGTTGCATAATGGATATAATTTATAATCCATAGTGAGCTCACAATATTTGATTGCAAAATGTTTTTCATCTTCCACGTTCTTAGAATGTAGTTGCAGTTGTGATTTCCCACTCTTGTTGTTAGAATAAGCCCATTGCCAGCCAGTTCATCCCGCTTCCCCCACCAGCCAGCCCTTAGCTCCGCGGACCTCCAGATGGAGAGGAGACTGATGTAAGATTGGTGGGCTACAGGAGCAGTCTCTTCGCCAGTTGGGTCTTGATAGGTCTAAAGGTAGACATACTAGGTCATGGGAATGTGTATTTTAGCTCTGGCTCAGAAACATTTTATCTTCAGGAAACAAAAAATTAGAATTTTGTTCTGAACCATCTTCTAAACAGGGCTGGTTCAGGAGCTGTTTTTATTCATGTAAAAGCTTTCTTCTGGCTCAGTAAATTTCAGAGGGGAATCCCATCCATTCCAAACTTGAATTATTCCCTATTTTTTTGTTGAATGATGGCTTTAGAAAAGTCGAGAGTTAGAATTGCCTGATAATATTTGTATCTTTAAAGGGTTGCTTTTAGAAAGCAGTCTTTAATAACTTTTGGGTTCAGCTTCACCAGTGTTAACAAGTTAGAAGTTTCTGGAACTTGATTGACTCAGTAGTGTATTTAGACTTAGAATATATTTTGGAGTAAATGGTGATGCCAAGCCTACTGTTTTTAAAATTTTACCCAAAGTGTTAGAAAAGTTTCGGTCTCGTTTTAAAGGATTCTGTGGTGGGAACTTTGCTAGGGCCTTCTTCCTTTTTCTAGAAACCCTAACTTAAGTATTTATCCAGATCCTGAAAAATGAAAGCAAGAATTTGTTCTTCCCACCCTCCAACAGTGAAAATATTTACTCTTGTTATGGGAGAAATATTGTTTCAGCTGTCATTAACAAGTGGTTTTTTTCCCCCTCTCTGTCTCCTGTAAACTCTGAAGGCACCACCTTCCATGGTTAACAACGAGCAGCGCCAACATGCAGAGCACACGTTCTTATCATTTAGGAAATCAAAATCACCATTTGCCGTTTGCAAGCATATTTTGGGTAAGTATTCATTTAAAAAATATTCTTGCATAATCAAACTGCCTTTTTCATTTTTGAACATTGAATGGTTTGCATTCCTTTAAAAAGAAATAAGTTTATATGGTTATACTTTTTCACTGATAATCATTCTGCTAAAGTGGCTTTAAAGATACCCAGGAAAGCCAGATAGAAAACATCTTGTTTTTAATTCGGATTTTAAAAAAAACAAAACAAAAAAGACAGTATTCAATAGTTTGCTTTATTATTTGCTAGGTATTAGCTTTAAAATTCATATCATTAGGCATAGCATTTAACAAAAATTTTATGATTTTATAATTAAAAAATTTTGAACCACATCAGAATTTATTGGTAATTTATTTTGGAAGTTCCTACATTTTCTTCCTTTTTGTTGTTTCTCTCTCACTCTCTTTATTTTAACCAGGTAGTTTTTACTAGGCTTGCTAGCAAATATTACTCAGTCTAGGTAGAGTAGTACCACATGTCCTAAAAAGAAAATGTTTGATTTTTACTTTGAGTTAATTTTATTTTTTACTTTTACTTTCATAAAGTATGCAATGTCTGATGTGTACCAAAATGATTCTTTTCCTTTTCAAGCAATCATAGGAATTATAATCTATTATTCAAAGATGATATTTACCAATAAGACTTAAGTGATGTTGCCATCTGTCTCTTGGAAAAATTTTCAGTAACAGTAAGAGAGATGGCATTGGCTATTACTATTTTAGACTGTGTTTCCTGTTGCCAACTTTGGTCATTGGTCCCGTCTCTGATAACCTGTATGTAAGGCTCAGAAAGGCTGCTCCCACCCTCCGAGCCCCAGCATTCCTTGGGTATGGGCTGGGAACAAAGACAGCTGACCTTTAAAATTCCGAGTTAGTAGTCAGACTTCCCTGTTAGTCCCGATGCTCTGGTTTCTGGATGGAAACCGATGACAGTGAGAACGATGCGTGCAGCTGCTTCATCGCCACGGGCCTAGAGGTCAGCATCCTGGACTTGGAGGAGAACGAGCACTGGAAGAGCCACCAGGAGCTCCGGGGCCCCATGGGGCTGGCTGTGCTCTGTAAACTCCAGGAGGCCACTTTGCCTTGCTGGGCCCACAGTAATAATGTGTTATAGGAATAATGACGCCAGTGGCCTTCATGAATTTGGCCATTTTAAGCTGTTGTGAAGCTCAACTGTCATAAGGTTAAGAAAACCACTTTATAAACAGTAAAGTGCCATGTAAGTGTCATTCCACACAAACTCATTTTAGCCACTTAAAAAAAAAAATCTTACACAATTCCGTTTTCTGCCCTATTCAGGAGTTAGGCCTGACTTCCACCATTTAAATTCTAAATGAGGCAGGGTTGTTTTCCACCCCCCACCACCACTCCCTTTTGCCATTAATTTAACACCTGGGTGGATTTGTTTTTGAGACCAAGAAATTTCCTCTCTTAACCCTGTGCTGAATATATTCACTGGACACTAAATTTAAGAAGCAAAATGAAACAATCATTTTAAAGAGCTTATGGAATTATTACCACATCTTTACTGCCTTGAAAATTGTCGGTATTCATACAGCTAGGGCGCTGTTGCATTACACTGCTAATATGAAATGATTTGAGTTTGTTTTGTTGGCATATGCTGTGCCTAGATTAACTAGGATTCCATCATGTAGCATCTGACTTTCTATGTAATTCAGTTGTCGCTCTACAAGTTTGGAAAGCGTTGACTTAAGTCATAAGTATTTTATCAGCGAGTATTTGTTGCTAGCACCCTTTCCTTCCAGAGTGTGTATATTTTAAGCATTGTTGCCTTGTTGCAATTTGAGCTTGTTTTAGAAGACGCTTGTTTTCCTGAAAAAGTTTTCCAAAGAGTGGTATTTCTAGTTCTGGCTGTGCTTTTAAAAATCCGTTTGGGTTTTGTGATATTGCCTGTTGACAACCGGAGTCCATGTATGAAAGCCTAACCATCAATGTTACGTTAATGTTTGCATCTGAACAGAACATCTTAACTCCTTGCTTACTTGCCACTAGCACAAAATGGTTAATTCCTCTAAGAAGACTTCTCATACAAGTGGCAGTCAATCATGACTCGGAATTTTCACATTCTTCAGTGGGGTTAGGTTTCATCTGTGGCCGGCCCACGTGGTGGGTTCCAGTGGAAGGGAAGACTTGTTCTCTGAGGCGTCCCTGTTCTGGCTTCCTACAGTTCTTCCTTCTCGCTCCTCAATTCAGTTCCATGTGTCTGGTTTCCCCACCTGGTATCCCTGTTTTTGTCCTTTTCCCATTCCCTTTGCTCTGTTCTCTGTGCGGGTGTGTGCACGTGTGCGCTGTGTCAGAAGAGCACTTCCATAGACTTTTCCATCCCGAGGTCTGTGGCACTCTTGTAGGACCCAGGATACCTTCAGAAACCACGAGGTCAGTTCTTGTGAAGGAACTCACCCAAGAACAGAAGGATTGGTGCCTGGAGCTGCTTTTAATAGCATTTGTTTCTCCTTCTTTCATTCAAAAATACACTCTGTATCTTACTCTGTTCACTTTTTTTACCTCAGAAGCAGCCAAACGCAAACTAGAAGCCACCACAAACGTCAGATACTAATTAGCAGTTTCCCGGTAAATGTGGAAACTGTTTCCTTAGGTAATGCCAAGTGCCGCCTCGCTTCTTCCGGCTTTTCTGGGTTGTGGGCTTGGTCTCGAAGTTCACATCACCTTGTCTTTGGAAAGACATCTTGACTTCTGTGGCCTGAGCACAAAAGTCTGGGTGGCTTTAAAAAATTTAATTTAACTTGGAAACTGATTAGAATGTAACACGTTTCCTTTCATTATTTGCTTCACTTTTTCTATCTTCGTAGCTGTTTAGTTTCAGATGGTTTGACAAGATAGAAATGTATTTTATTTACCAATAAATAACAAAGGAAGTGAAAGCCTCCTACTAGAGTTGTCTGAGGTCATTTAGGGTCTATCTAGGCAGGGCAATAGTTAGGGGCAGCTGTTCCCCAGAGAGGTTACCGCGAGTGTTGTGTCTGAGTGCTGAGTTCTTCCTGAAGACCTTGCTGTTCAGAGCCGCTTCGTAGCAGAGGGCTGGAGCGAGCCTCCCATGTCCATCCGAGGGCCTCATTTCCTACTGGCAGGTGTCTCACACTTCGCCTGGCATATCTTGCAAGTGTATTTTATGTATAAGTGTCTGAAGATCAATACTAGCTCTTGTGAGAAAGTATGTATTTTATTAGTTTAGGAAAATTAATTCTTTTACATTTGAATTTTGCATTTTTCTCCAGAATGTTCTTTTCTTAGCAACAGGATATTATGAGACTGTTCAGAAAACAAAAGCAAAAACTCACTGACATCAAATCAGTTTTGACCCTGTGTGACTATATGGAATGTCTGAGCTGGAAATCTTTACACTAGCAGACAGCCTTAATTTTTTTCTCAAGGAGAGGCTAGTTAGTGGGTTTGAACCACAGACCTTGTGGCTAACAGTCCATTGTTTATCCAGCAGCGCCATCAGGCCTTCTTTTTATTATTATTTTTTCATCGGGCCTTCTTCTGAGCATAGTAATTTAGAAGTCCTCATTATTAAATTAGCTCGGAGAGGTATCTTAAGAAAAAGAATTAGAAACACCCCCACCCCCACCCCCCATGAAGACTTTGGAGTGCCATCCACTCTGTCATTGCCCTCAAAGGTAGCAGGGAAAAGACACAGGTACAAGAATAAATGTTCGCTGACTTGCCCTTCAGAGATGGAACTGTGAGGCACACCTGCCATCCATGTGACCCTGACTCTCTTGTCATTTCCTCAGGTGTCAGCTTTTCAGTGGGAACATTCAGAGATCTTTTGGGTCCTAGTTCTAAAACTTTTTTGAGTCTCAACGATTGTGCTTCCTTAAGATTCATGCCTAAGGATTTCATTCTTACACTTCAACGTTTTGTTACAATTGAAAAGGAGGACAGAGAAACTGCCATCACTTCTCCCAAGACCAGTTTTTGGATGAGATTTTCTTTCTTTCTTTCTTTTTTTAAATTACCCTTAAAAGGCAGTTACCACAATTTCCCATAAGTCACCAAAATAGATGTAACTGGTTTCTGTTTCTCATCTTCTTTGAATACCGCCCCCCCCCCCAACTATTCTTGGAACTTTCAACACATCTTATGGTGTGTTCCCATTTTTAAAGAAGTAGTTGCTTTGCTTTACTTATTTTTTTACAGATTTTGAATTTTTGTGAAGGTTGATTATCATCTCCATTAGAATTCATGATAAGTTAGCATGGACTAATCAAAACTTAAATAAAACGCAAAAACTGAAACATAAAACCTAAGCTGGTTCTTGCATTGATTTGGGTGCATTCAGAGCATTGAGGTAGGGTGTACGGTGTGGTCGGAAACTCCTTTTCTCACAAATTTTTAGTTGTGTCCAGGTGACTTAGAGTTTTCGGTGGCCTGGACCTGAACAGGTAGGAAAGTAATGTGCCTGACTAGTTTTGTGCTCTTCTGAGACGTTCTTGAAGGGGCCGCCCTTCCCCCCTACAGTTTAGTTCTCATGTCTAGTCATCTTCAGTAAATAATCTGAAATCCTAACGGTAGACTTTTCATGGATTTCACAGGGTGGTTATTTTTTTAGAGCTTCAGAAAACTCCCCTTCCCCTCACCCGCCCTTTTGATAATGCTGTTTGGGAACTGATGGCAGTGGCTTTGGTGAATAAGAGGGAAAAATAGAAAATTAACATAGATGGCACTCAGGTGTGTTAATTTTCTATTCCCCCACCCCCACCCCAGTCTAGCCTTCAGCGCAGGGACTGTAACTCATTAGTTAAGGGGAGGTCTTTCTAAGTGTAGCTTTGGGATTTTACTCAGTTTGATCAGTATTGCAATCAGAAAATTCAAAAGAACTTCTCACCTGTGTAAATGTGAACCTGTTGTTTTTTTCAAAAACTGTTTTTGGATAATTAACCCAAATGTGCTTGCATTTATTTCTGAACTTGCTATTAGAGATGGGTCATGCTGCTGAAAATTGTTATCCTTAAATACACCAATACTTTTGACAGCATGACTCATCACAAATAGTGATGTTCAAAGACTAGTTGGTTAAGGTGTTTTCCAGAGGCCAAGTTCTAGTTTACACAGGGTGAGAATCTCTTAGGAAATTTTCTGATTGCTTTCTATTTTTATTTTTTATTTTTTTAAAGCTGTGTTATTTTTTAGTTCTTCATGCTTTGGAAGTAACAGTTGAAGAGAGGTGAGGAAAGTTTGTGAAAATTGTGATCGGTGATTAGCTGCCACCTGCCTGAGGTGTCTTCTGAGAGGAACTAACCTCTTTGTGGTGCTAGAGCAAGGTCACTGGATAAAAAAAAGAACAGGTAACCATCTTATTCCTTGTCTGAAAAGTTCTGTTTTAAAATTAATACCCGAGAATGTCCCAGGCAATGTGACCTCCCATTTAAGGACAGTTGTTTGTTCTCTCCTCAGAAACTAGTAAAGTGGACTATGTCCTTTTTCAAGCTGCCACAGCCATAATGGAAGCAGTCGTGCGAGAGTGGATTCTATTGGAGAAAGGTAGCATCGAGTCACTGCGAGCATTCCTCTTAACCTATGTCTTACAAAGACCCAAGTAAGTACACAAGAAGGTACATGAGAACGCGCTGCTGACTGCTTATGTCATCTCTGATTCTCCATAGTTCATGATAGGTTAGCATTTGTGTATTAGGTAAGCGCTTCGTGGGGCTTACAGTTTTAAAATCCACATTAACACCTTTTATTTAAGCATATGGTATTCAGTTTTATTTTTCCAAAATGTTTTGCAAATTAGGTTTCCTTGTTGAGTTCCAGAGATTTTGCTTATTAAAAAAAAGAAAAGAATGTTGACTTTGGTCTCAGTCTAAAATCTTTTATACTTGTTCGTTTGGTGCTTATCGAAGCACGTTTCTTTGAACATGTTTTGAATTTTGAATCATAAGTATAGTGAAGACATAGGTGAGTGTCCTAAGGTGTTGGAAATCAAGTAGCATTAGCGAAATCAAATGTTACATATATGTGTACATAGACATGGGATATTTCCATAGAAAAGGGTCTAGAATAATTATGAATTTCCTTTTCTTAAAAAAAAAAAAAGAAATTCTTTTTCTTTTGGAGAAGAAAACTCATCTCAGATCTGAGATGAGTTGTTGGTAAATTTTCTTTTTATATTACATCTACACATCAAATGTTTTACAAGTTTGTATATATTTATTGCGTGTATGGTATTTTGGGAAAACTATTAGCTGTGCTTTAACTTTTTTTTTTTTTTGGCAAAAAGCTGTTTATTACATTCACAGCTGTAAAACTAATAAACTTTGGAAAGATATGTTTGAGGAGAAATTAATTTACTACTTTTTTCACCCCCACTCCCACCCTAACCCCCCCAAAAAATACAGGTCTTCTTTTAAGAACCAAATAAAACTCACTGCCATCCACTGGATGCAGCCATATAGCTCATAGATAGGCAGGGTAGAACTGCCCTTATACATTTCCAAGACTAACTCTTCCTGGGAGTTGAAAGTCCTCTATCTTTCTCCCAAGGAATGGCCGGTGGTTTCAAACTGCTGATCTTGTGATTAACAGCCAACCTGTAACCAGGGCAGGCAATGTATATTTACTGACTGTACAATATTAGATGCTAATTTTCAAATGAGATGAATAAAATTTTTGCAATATAATCGACTATACTTGTACTTGGGAGTGGTGGTTTCACATAACTATATGCATAAGACTTGAACTCTTAACAGAGTATATTGTCAGACTTTTGTTCCTACTGACTGCTCTTAGGAAAATCTGTGTTCATGATTTTTATAATAGTTACTGAAGCCTTCAACACTCAGTTGTCCCGCGTACTGGTGACTACTCGCTGTCATTTCAACTAAGAGGGACCTTCTAGGACAGAGTAGAGCTTTCCGGGGACCACTGGGGTGTGATATAGCATGCCCATTTGGTGTCTCCTTGAATATATTTGGTAGGCCTGGAAGGATTAGCTTACTTTTGACCCTTCTGTACACAAAAGAAAGGTAAGTACTAGTAAGTAGGAAAAATCTTAGCAATGAGTGGTTTTTTTTGTTAATTTATTTTTCATACACATAACATGCATATTAACATTTTTTTTTGTTACAGGGAACAACCATGAAAAAGATACAGAATTTGTTGAGTTTATAAAAAAAGAATCTTTCTTGTCCTCGTACAATCTTTTTAAAATTAAATATAATCATCTGTTCTTAAGAGAAGTTATTCAAGAGTTGAGGCTTTCTCATTTACACTTAGATAATAAAAGAAAATAAACCTTAAGACATCTGTGTTTGAGGAATGTTTTATATCTTGGCCCTTAGCCCTGAAATATTAAAGACAGAAAAGTTGTCTGAAGGGGCCTATTTATGTGGCTTTGGGAAAGCAGCTCAATACTTTTCTGCTGCTCAGTTTCATTACCCTGGAAAGGGCTTGGTGTTCAGTTGGTGTGGGCAGTCAGTTAGGTTGGAGAGACCTCTGGCTACTGCTGACCTGCCACTGTCTGCTAAGGCAGTATTCCAGAACAGTCAGGGCCACAAAGACCCTTTTGTCAAAGCAGACACAGTCTTTTCCCCAGCCTCCGTGCCCAAACACCGACTGCCATCGAGTCGATTCCAACTCTCAGCAATCCTGTGTAGGGGGTTCAAGCCTGTAAATCTTAATGGGAGTCAAAGGCCTCATAGTTACTCCTGTGGAGTAGCTGGTGGGTTTGAATTGCCCATCTGCAGTCAGCAGCCCAATACCTAACCCACAGTGCTACCAGGAATCCTTCGACGCTCCTTGGCGAGTGTAAGACAAATTTTGATTATGTATATGTGGGAAGTCTATTATCCCAACCAGTCTTACTCTTAAATATTTTACATTTATCCAGAAATTGTTTTATACCAGTGGTTCTCAACCTGAGGTTCACGACCCCTTTGGGGGTCGAACAACCCTTTCACAGGGGTCGCCTGATTCATAACAGTAGCAAAATGACAGTTATGAAGTAGCAACGAAAATAAATTTATGGTTGGGGGGTCACCACCACATGAGGAACTGTATGAAAGGGTCACGGTGTTAGGAAGGTTGAGAACCACTGTTTTACAGTCAATTGTGGGGTTCCATATTGAAATAGTTCACGTACACAGTTTTTGAAAAACATTTTAGACTTTCAGAGCAACTAAAGAAACGGTGCCGTAAACACGCCTGTACCCTTTTCCTATTCGAGGCATGATAAGATTTTGCCACATGTGATTTCTCCTCGTACATCTCTGCCCGCTCACCCCCGAACCATTTGAAAGTGCGCCAAAGATGCCACGAGACTTCATCCTTAAACCTCTCAGCTCCCTTTCCTAAGAGCACCATCTCACTGTGATTGATACAGTTGGCATTCTTAACATTACCTATTAGCTATCTGATTCATATCCTGTGATCTGAATGATATTATTTAAAGCATTTTATGGGTTCTTTTTTGACCTAGAATTTAACCAAGGCTTACATATTGTATTTAATTGTCACGTCCTTTTTATTCCTTGTTAATTCCAAAAAATTCTCTTGGTTTTTAAATATTGTGTGTGTGTGTGTGTGTCATTTCTGATAAAATTTCATAGTATACTTACAATATGGATTAGAGTTAGGTGAAAAAATTCTGACCTGCTATAGGTGGGAGACTACAGGTGGTTTTGTGTCAAATACTGCATGAGAAGTAGGAACTTCTCATTTACATGAATGGGATGTTTTCTTGATCTTTTTCCACCTCCTCCAGTTGATTTACAACTCAAGAGCAAATTTGACAGCGTGCTTTCTTTCCTTTTAATAATACTGTCCAGAGGTAAGAATTTTCTTCTTTTTTAAAAAATTCTTTTATTGGAGGCTCTTAACATCTCTTATCACCACCCATACATTTCTCCAGTGTGTCAAGCACATTTGCACATTTGCCGCCATCATTTTCAAAGCCTTCTCTTCCCACTTGAACCCCTGGTAACAGTGTGCTTTCAGAGCAAGGAAGAGACAGTGGCACAGTGGTTAAGAAAGAGCCTCTTCAACCCGCTTTTGCCATGTGCTGACTCTGTGGCCATGGGCAGTTTAAGTAACCTATATGCATCAATAATAAGTAAGAATTAATGAATGCAGTGAATAATAGTATTTATTTCTAAATATTGTTGTGAAGATTGAGTGTTTACATTTTTTGTAAAGTCCATTTGTATGAAATGTTGCATATCATAAACACTTAATGAATGTTAGCTATTACCTAGTTTCCTAATTCTAATTCTTGCAAACAGATACTTAAAGCTCTCTGTGTGCATTGCTAGTTGTCTTCAGCTCTGTGCATGTTCTGCCAGTAGTCCGCATGTATCTTCACAGCTAGTCTTCCTGCGAAGTTCCCAGAGGAGGCTAGGGGAGGAGGAGGAGGAATGGACACAGGAAACAAGAGGAAGTGGGATCAGCAATGAGGCATTGAAGGGATTGTCATGGAGGAGTTGAATCGAATGTATAATTGTTGAATGTAAAACTCTCATCTGCTCTGTAATCCTTCAATTCACAATAAAAAGTTAAATTATTTTCCCACAAAAGATGTCAGAATTCCCTGGCCATCTAATATTCTTGTCTATAGTAGACTTACTTCATTGCTTAATGAAGGGGGGAGGGGCACACTTTCAAGTCAGTGTTTTGAAAGCATGGTTTTCACTGCAGCCCTGACTTCAGCGGACCTATTGCCTCCTTTCTGTAAATGTTCAGTGAGCGCTGCTAGTGTGTCTGCCATGGCAATCAATACAGTGGGGAGCTCAGAACGGACACGCTGTCTTGGAAGACAATTAATCAAGTAGTGACAGATGTGTGGGGGCGTGGTTCAATGATTGAATTTCCATGTGGGAGCCCCAGGTTCCATTCCTGGCCAATACACCTCATGACAGCCACCACCTGTCTGTCAGTGGAGACTTGCGTGTGGCTCTGAGCGGGGGCAGGTCTCAGTGGCACGTCCATCTATCATGACGAAGAGAAAGGCCTGGCAGGCTACTTCAAAAAGTCAGCTGGTTGAAACCTTGTGTGTCACGGTGGTTCCAGCCTTAGCTCGGCATGAGGATGACACAGGGCAGAGTTTTGTTGTGTTGGGCTTGGGGTCGCCAGTGATCTGTGGGTGACTCAGTGGCGGCTAAGAACAGGAATGACAGATGGGTGCGTGCCATGTGAAGTGCTGTTGGGGCCCATGCTCCTATGTTTGATATCCAGCCAGCCTGAAGGAAGTGACACCACGAGGGGATCAGAGTTTAGAAGCTCAGGGCAGAGGTGGCATGTTCCGTTTGATGAGGGTGAGGGGGAGATTGGTGGGGTTGGGAGGGAGGAAGTTGGAAAGGGGGGTGCAAGTGGCCTGAAGGATCTTTTAAAAGAGTGATCATGTAATTCTGAGCATGAAGAGAGCGCTGCTTTACACTAGGCCCACAGGTAGACTGGCACTCTCCCAGGAGCCCAGAGTAGCTCTGACTCTTAAGCCATGTTGAGGACACACGGTGTCTGTGGCCATCTAAGGCGTAGGGTATGGATTTCTGGACCTAGTTTACAGTGCATTTTTTTAGGCGGAGACAGCATGACGTAGTGATTAAGAAAGAGATGCTCAGTCCCAGTTCTGCCTCTGGGTCCTCTGCAATTTGACAGGGCCCTACCTGGGTCTCTGTAGCAGTTGTGGAAAGGCAGGTTTCTGTGCCCTGTGGCTAACCAAGCCTTGAGGGACACCTCAAGTAGCCATCGCTGCTTCTGCCACCAGACTGCCTAGCAGATCTTGGCTATGATGTTTTTTGGAGTTCGTAGGTTTTCATAATAGTGTGTCTTGGTGGAGCTAGCATGTCTCCTTTTCACACAAAAGAGAAATGGGGTTCAGGGTGGAGATGGATGTTAGATCCAATTTTCATCTCCTAATCAATGGGCTCTTAATCTGGCTTTCTGTGACAACCCCCTACCCACAATACTTACCAGAAAACTAATATCTGTTAGACACTACCTGAAGTCGCTGAGACACATCTTCTGTTTAATCTGTCTTAGGCCCAATCGGAGGAGCATTTAACCCTTATAACAACCCTCTTTTTATGACTTCCTTCATCTCCAAAAGGAAGAAAACGGATTCTGAGAGCCATCTTGCTTCAGGTCACATAGATAGTAACTATAGAATAGTTCTATAGCAACTATTAGAGCCCCTGGCCGTGAACCTCAGTGTCCTGAATTTGGGGTCTGTATGTAACCGCTGTTTCTGTGACCCACAAATGTAAGCCGAGCTATCAGTAGTTTCAGGCAAAGTGGGAAACTTGGCAATAGTTGTTTGTTTGTTTGTTGGCAATATTGTTTATATTAGATGTAGATAATTTTTTTTTCACAACATTTTTTCTCTTTTCCAGCCTCCAAAAGTATGTTCGGGAACAGATTCTATTAGCAGTAGCTGTCATTGTAAAACGAGGATCATTAGATAAATCAATTGATTGCAAAAGCATTTTTCATGAAGTCAGCCAGTTGATAAGTAGTGGCAACCCCACTGTGGTAAGTGTGCTATTTATAACTACATAAAGTTTTTAGTTTGTATTGCACAAATAACTTGATAGCAATATTGACAGTGACATAAAGGAATGTGTACAACGAATAAATTAAGCAACTCTCATTTGTCCAGTTTTCTTTTAGTTTTTTTTGTATGTACATAATATAGATAGAGTATACTTTGCTTTTTGATGTGATTTGTGATTTTTTTTACCTGTTGCCATGGTCTTTGTACTCATTTTGATAGTTGTAAAATGTTATGTGAATCCTTGGCAAACCACATAAAAGTGTAATTTCCCTCCTGTTGAATATTTTCTCCATTGTTCAGAAACTTTGAAGCCACTAGTGATTACAGAACTGCACAAACATACAATGACACCTAGCTGCTGCGGCTGTCGCAGCACGCGGAGTTGTCTATGACTCCTGCAAGAGCAGCACATGGCAACACACTGTGCGCTCCTTCACGGCCCTCGCAGTCGTTCCCATGTTTGAGCCCGTCATTGCAACCCTGGGTCAGTTCATTTTGTTGAGGGTCTTTCTCTTTTTCGCTGACCCTCACCTTTACCTGGCAAATGCCCTTCTCCGGGGACTAGTCCCTTCTGAGACAATGTCTAAAGTAGGTAAGAGAAAGTTTTGCCTTTTAAAAAACATTATGACTCTACTTCTTCCAAGGCAGAATGGTTTGTTATTCTGCAACTCATGGTATAGTCAATATTTTTGCCAACACCATAGTTCACATATTTCATTTCTTCCGTCTTCCTTATTCATTGTCCAGAAAAGGCCATCATGCTTGGTAAAGTAAGTCAGCGAGGAAGAAGAGAACCATCATCAAGGAGATGATGGATTGCAACAGTGGGCTCAGACATGGCAGTGTAAAGTACCTGAGACCAGCCGAATGAGTGCTGTCTAACCAGGTGGAATTGAGATTGGTAAAACTGGGTCATTCTCATTCTCAGATAGTACCTAAAGAGGTACTATTTAAATTTTTAAAAAATACTGCTTTTTTTCCAGTTTCATAGTTTATGTGAATGAAGCTGGACACATTGCAATGCTTTGTGAACTACTTTATATCTCCAGGGATCCCCTCAGTGAGTGATAGGATTTTCATAGGACGTTTTGGCCTTTTTACATTGTTGTGTAGAGAGGTATGTGTTAGGAGGCTGTGTACATCATCTCTTCCTTTCCATCGTGCCATCCCTCTTACCAGTCCCTGACTCCTAATCTCTCCAGAGGGACACTCGCCTCATTGCACCAGCTGTCTTTTCTTTCTGGTTGAGACTTGGCATGCGTCATTAGCAAACTGGGAGATCTAGACTAAAGGCACATGTAAATCACATGTCAGTATTCTGCAACTTATTTAATGGTGCACACACTTGGCACCAGCACCAGACTCCTGTTATCTCTTTGGAATTTATCAGTGGTCAAGCTTTGAGTTCTTTTGTGCCAGACCAACTCCCTTGGGGTATAATTTACATACAACTTAACTGCGTCTATTTAAGATGCGCACTTGGACAACATTGGATTTTCGCATATACCAGTGGAACCACCACAGCAAGCAAGACACACATAATTTCTGTGTCTTGATTTTTAAAATTGTGTTTTCTGCTATTTTTAAAAAATACTTTTACTGGGGGCTTTTACATCTCTTAGCACAATCCATACAGTCCTCCAGTGTGTCAAGCACTTTTGCATATATGCCACCATCATCATTTTCAAAGCATTCTCTTCCCACTTGAGCCCCTGATATCCGCTCCCCACTTATTCCTCTTCCTCTCCCGCCCACCCTTCCTCAGGAACCCTTGATAAGTTATAGATTTTTTTCACATATCTTACATCATCCTCTGTCGCCCCTCACCTACTTTTCTGTTATTCATCCCCCCTGGGAGGGGGTTCTAAGTTGATCCTTGTGATCGGTTGTTATCTGCTGTTTTTCAGACACTTATTTTCAAATAGTGTTGCCCAGTAGAGCTTTCTGTGTTGATGGGAATATTCTCTATCCAGACTCATTAATGCATAACCAGTAGCCACCTATAGCTTTTGAGCATTTGAAATGTGGTTAGTGTGGCTGTGGAACAGAAATTTAGTTTTTATTTACCTTTAGTTAATTTGAATGTAAGTAGTCACATGCCACTAATAGCAGCCTTATTGGATGATGTAGTTATTACTGAAGACTTGGCCTATTTTGTGTTCTTTTCATATAATCTTAAACTTTCAAATCTACTGCCATCAGCTGGTGGGTTTGAACTGCCAACGTTGTATGCTAGCCTTGTGGCTAGCAGTTCTACGCTTACTTGGCAGAACCAGGGATTCTTCGTATTATAAAATTGTTTATGTAAAATAGCCTCAGAAGGTACATGGTGTGAGTTGTATGTTATGCATCATGATGGTTTTATTGGATGGTGTGAGAATAATCCTTGAAAAGAATCCTGGTTTTGTACCCTGGTATAGATAGGAACTGGAAACACAGGGAATACAGGACGGATGACCCCTTCAGGATCAGTGGTGATACCGGCACAACAGGGAGGGCAAAGGGAGAAAGGGTAGGAAAGGGGGAACTGATTACAGGGATCTGCATATAACCTCCTCCCTGGGGGATGGACAACAGAAAAGTGGGTGAAGGGAGACGTTGGACAGTGTAAGATATGACAAAATAATAATTTAAAAATTATCAAGGGTTCATGAAGAGGGAGCGGGGAGGGAGGAGGAAAAATGAGCTGATGCCAGGGGCTTACATGGAAAGCAAATGTTTTGAGAATGATGAGGGCAACAAATGTATAAATGTGCTTTAATCAATTGATGTATGTATGGATTGTGTTACAACATAAGAGTTGTATGAGCCCCCAGTAAAATGATTAAAAAAAGAAAAGAATCCTGGTTCACAATTAAGATTTAAAAGTTTTGATACAACACCCAATTTGGGGAAGGCTATGGAGGACAGTGGGAGTCCAAAACCCATTCTGCAGAGGATCTCGTCAGACCAAGCCTATGAGACAAATCCACTCTAGCCAAAGGCAAGTGTCTCAAGCAGCCTTACTATCAAGCAGAGACCATTGTAATCTTGATTATTTGGTATTGAACTCAGTATCAGACCAGTTGTCCTCCGTATAGACAAAACCTGGATTAGTACTCGGTGTAAGTATCTGTTAGTTGTCCCATGACAGAAATTTCTTCTCTGGCCTTTCGAACATTGATGGCAGTCTTCTCCCTCTTAGGCATCATTTGTATTTTTGCCTTTTACTGATATGATCTTATTCGTACCACCTGAGTGCAATTTGTCTTGCGCTGTTTTCTGTGGGTTTTCCCAGCTGTGAAGCACAGGAGGAATGGATGTGTAATGATAACTGATACAAGGTGTTGTAGGGAATGTAGGGGTAGGGGACAGGCGATAGGGAGGGACGGGGGATTTCAGGAGTGAACAGTGAGGGTGGGAGGGGGGAGGGAGCAGTAGGACTGCTAGTGATTGCACATCTCAGTTTCAAGGCGATATAACCCTGGGGGTGAGGGGTGAGCAGACTCTTAGATGTGGTGGTGATTGTATAACTCCCCTTGATGTGATTGAGTAGTTGAACCATTCAATTGTATGATATGTCAATTATGTGCCAATAAAACTGTTGGGGGGAAAAATAACAACCAGGTGAAATTAAGACTATCCAAGGTGGGGGGAAGTTTTTTAATTAACAAAAATAAAATGAAAAATGATTGGGAGGCTACTTTTTCCTCATTCTTTGGAGCTCTCTTGGTTGGTCGGTGGGCCTCCATTTTTGCTGAAGAGCCTCGCTGTGAGACGCTGATGCTCCACCACTGTCTTCGCTGGCTGTGTCGTGATAATCATGAGGCTCGCTGGCATTTGTGTTAGCGTGTGGTGCCCGACTAATGGCCACTGTGCACATGTGGGACAAGGTGGTACTCATTGATGGCCAAGGGGAAATGCTCTTGAGAAAGGGTCTAGGCCTGGTTGTTCTCAACCAGGTTGCTCTTTGTTTCCTGTTTTATGTCAGGACATAATATTTCATTTTGGTCAGGGAGTCAAGCCCGTTGTAATTGACCAGGACTTAGAGATTCGGCCCTGGAACGGTAACTCTAGACTCTGTGTGCTCTTGAAGAATGCTTTTCCCTGGTTAGTTAGGTGATCATTCCAGCAGGGGTTGTGTTGCTAAGGTAGACTAGGGATAGCCTTCCCCTCCTCCCCCACAGCAGCTTATTGGGACCAGGATGTTGCCCTGAAAGGATCAAGAGTTCTCTTGCCCTTTGTTGGGAATGAGCACATACACAGGAATTGTGTTCTCTTGTTCCATTCTCCTTGGGTAACTTGACCCGGACCAAAAAAGTAGTTTCACGAAACCTGGCTATTGGCTTTTTCTCCCCACCCCCACCCCCCAGCCACAGAAATAACTGATGCTTAGAGAATGATTGGAACAGATGCAGCTGTTTAGTCAGGAAGATTTTTCCACACTTGGAGAATAGTGCATACATTTACTATTCTTAGGGAATTTTCCAAAGTAGCATATATTATGCTTTTTCTTTTTTTAAGGAGAATGTCTAATAACAGGGCTAAAAAAACCGACCATGGGAGAAAATCTATAGTGGGAGGTAGAGTTTAATTTCAAGATAGCAGGATGAGTTTGCTTCTTTATCAACATGAATTTATTTGGATGACCACGTGAAGAACTTTAAACTTAAAAATGATTGCATACATTTCTACAGTAAGTTATGGTAAATTTTTACCGTGCATTCATTGCTATCTGCCCTTGCCCACGAGCTGAAAACAGGAGGCTGCAGATCACTAAATCATTGTAAAGTCTCTGCCTTTCTCTTTATTTTCTTCTCAGACTGATAAGAATTTGTAGGAATGATTCAAGAATTGACTTAAGATTTTCTTAGTCTCAGACATGAATAGCAGTGGAAGAGAGGTTTAAAACTTCCATTAGACAATAAAACGAAAATGGGGAGTTGACATCGGGGGCTCCAGTGGGAAGAGAAGGCTTTGAAAATGATGATGGCGTCAT